ACTACTATAGGACACTACAAGTTCTGAATCTCCAGTGACCCGACGGCGCCACCTGGTGAATGGTACAGGACATTACAAGTTTTGCATCTCCAGTGACCCTATGGCGCCCCCTGCTGACTGTGTTTGAAACTGCACCAAAGGGTGCAAAAACTGAACTGTTTATTTTTCCTTTTGCTGGTTTATTGGTTTGTTCTTGAAGGGGATTATTGGTGGGTATAGGAGTATTGCTTGGTTGTTTTACTTGGGTTTTTTTTCCATGTTTCTGTTAATACAAACATACCTTTTAATAAAGGGCTGTTATTTTCCCTTTTCCATAATTTGTTTTCCTTCAATCGGAACCTTTTAATTTTGGATTTATAATTGCTTAGAAAACGAAGTTTGTGACTTTTCTCCTAACTTATCCTCAGCAAAAGACCCTTGTCTCATTTAAACTGGGACATTTTTGGCGCCCAATGTTGGACCCAAGAGAGGAAAAGTGGAAAAGGAAGAGCTGCCCTTGTGTGACTTTATAAATGTTTGTGAACCTGTAGGCACCATGAAGTCTAAGGTTGTTGCTTTTCTGTGGTATATAATTATGCCGAGATCTATGTCCCACCTGTCGATGTTTTTCAGCTCAGATACTATGACCCTCATTGCAATAAGTACGTTTGAGCTCTTGCATTGGTTTTATGACATAGCAAACTCAGCACCTGTTATTTTCCTTCGGGATATGTTCTCAAGGATATATTACTGCTCCAACCTACACTGTCTCCTTTGGGGGTTTAAGGATAATGGCACCTATTCCTGTAGAGAAACACAGGGGGGTATAATTGCCCAACCCTTCATACATTTTCCCTTTGGTTCCAATACAATGGCCTCTGAGAGATTTAAACTCTGTTTAGATGTAAGAGACATTTTACTTTTTGGTCTTCTCATGCAAGGTGTCATATTTAATATTCATAGTTAGGACCAGGATTTGCCAAGAACGGGCACAGAAGCCAGCCCCAGGGGTGGAAAACCTTGAATGGCATGGGCCATGGGAGGTTATGGGTAAATTTCTAAAAAGTGGTTCAGTTCCTCCAACATGGAAACTCACTCTCGAACAACTCCTAAACCCTACAAAGATAATGACAACTGTGAGGGAGAGAGGTCGTGGTAAACCCATAGAGAGGAAGATGGTGGATGCATGTGGGATTTTAACCGTTGCCTACAGAAAGCTGCTCAGTATGGTGAAGCACTCACAGGGAAAAGGAAAAGATGAAAACGAGAGGTCTGATTCAAGGGTGACTCCAGATAAGGCAAATTCCAAGGGACCGAACAAGTCAATGGAGGTTGCCCCTATCCAAAAGAAGAAATATAAGACCAAATCAATCTGTCCAGTTGATGATGATGGGGAGGTACAACCCTCACAGGCAGCCAACCCGGAGTCAGAAATCATCACTGAGTCCTTATCGTATGACAACCTCCAGAAATTACGGGCAGACATCATTCGTCACCCAAATGAGCTCATACTGACCTGGAGGATCCGAGTCTGGGACTCCACGGGTGATGCCTTAAACCTTGATGGCAGTGAAGCAAGGTTCTTGAGGTCTATTGCCCAGGATGTGGGCCTTGAAGAGGCATTTGTGAGAGAATCAAAGCCCCTGTCTCTCTGGGCACGGGTGTTGGATGCTGTGAGAGAGAGGTTCGTTTACAGAGAGGCCTGGCAGACAAACCATTGTGTGAAGCACTGGAATACCGTGGAGGAGGGGATCCGACGCCTGAGGGAAATGGCACTGTTGGAAGTACTGTTTGGAAGAGATATGCAAGCTAGTCACGATCCTGACAAGGTTGGATGTACACCAATCATGTGGTGGACCTTCATACATATGGGGCCATCTGCACACGTCAGTTACTGGACATCATTGGAGGCTGGGGAAAAGAGAGAGTCAGCGACATTTATAGCAAATTACCTTCAGATGTACGACAGTATGGTCCACGGATCATTTCAAGCCCCCATTTCCTCTGTAGAGACCTTGATCAATAACTTCACTACCATAGTTACAAAACTACAAGATCAACAGGAGAAAATCCTAGAAAAGATTGAGAAAAACTGTTCCCAGGTGGCACCAGTGAGAACCAGGCACCCCCCAGCTAGAGAGGGTAGACAGACCTCATGAACCGAGTTGTGGTATTTCCTATCTGACCATGGAGAAGACATGAGACAGTGGGACAGGAAACCTACCCACGTCTCAGCAGCCCGAGTACAAGAGTTGAAGGACAAGAAAAAAGCAAAGTCTGTGAAAGTGAGTGCAGTGCCGGTATCCCGTGGGCAGGGATCTGACCCACTAGAAGGTACCTCCCGCCGGTATTTGCAGATGGAAAACTGTGACGAGCAGGACAGAGACCAGTATTAGAGGGGCCCTGCCTCTAGCCAGGTAGAGGCACGAGACAACCGTGTCTATTGGACGGTGTGGATCCGATGGCCTGGCACATCAGACCCACAAGAATACAAGGCTTTGGTTGACACTGGCGCTCAATGCACGTTAATGCCCTCAGGACATGTGGGACCAGAGACTATTTCCATTTCTGGGGTGACAGGAGGGTCGCAACAGTTGACTGTGTTGGAAGCTGAAGTGAGTTTGACCGGGAAGGAGTGGCAGAAACACCCCATTGTGACTGGTCCAGATGCCTCATGTATCCTGGGCATTGACTACCTTAGGAATGGGCATTTCAAAGACCCCAAGGGACATAGGTGGGCTTTTGGAGTAGCTGCTGTGGAGACAGAGGCGGTTAAGCAGTTGAATTCACTCCCTGGTCTCTCGGAGAACCCTTCTGCTGTGGGACTGTTGAAGGTTGAGGAACAGCGAGTGCCAATTGCCACTACAATAGTGCACCATCGGCAGTACCGAACGAACCAAGACTCTGTGATCCCCATCCATAAGATGATCCGTGAGCTGGAGAGCCAAGGAGTGATCAGCAAGATCCACTCCCCCTTCAACAGCCCCATCTGGCCTGTGCGTAAGTCTGACGGAGAATGGAGATTGGCTGTGGACTATCGTGGCCTGAATGAAGCCACCCTGCTGCTGAGTGCTGCTGTTCCAGACGTTGGAGCTCCAGTACGAGCTGGAGTCTAAGGCAGCGAGGTGGTACGCCACTATTGACATTGCAAATGCGTTCTTCTCCATTCCCTTGGCAGCAGAGTGCAGACCTCAGTTTGCTTTCACGTGGAGGGGCGTGCAGTACACGTGGAACCGACTGCCCCAGGGGTGGAAGCACAGTCCCACCATCTGCCCTGGATTGATCCAGGCTACACTAGAGAAAGGGGAAGCCCTAGAACACCTGCAGTACACTGATGACATCATCGTATGGGGGGACACAGCAGAAGAGGTCTCTGAGAAAGGAAAGAAGATCATACAGATTCTCCTGGAAGCTGGTTTTGCCATCAAAAAGAGTAAAATCAAGAGACTTGCCCAAGAGATCCAGTTCCTGGGAGTAAAGTGGTAAGATGGACGTCGTCAGATCCCGACTGAAGTCATCGATAAAATCACAGCAATGGCCCCCCCAACTAGCAAGAAGGAAACCCAAGCTTTCCTGGGTGCCATAGGTTTTTGGAGAATGCATATCCCCGAGTACAGCCAGATCGTAAGCCCTCTCTGTCTGGTAACCCGCAAGAAGAATGATTTCCAGTGGGGTCCTGAACAACAGCAAGCATTTGAACAGATTAAACAGGTTGTTTTACTTGTGTTTTTTTTCCCATGTTTCTGTTAATACACACATACCTTTAATAAAGGGCTGTTATTTTCCCTTTTCCATTTTTTTTTCCTTCAATCGGATCCTCTTAATTTTGGATTTATAATTGCTTAGAAAACGAAGTTTGGTTCTTTTCTCCTAACTTATCCTCAGCAAAAGACCCTTGTCTCATTTAAACTGGGGGAGCGCCCTTTGGTGAAATTCTAATCACAGTCAGTAGGGGGGGCCGTCAGGACACTGGAGATGAAAAACTTGTAATGTCCTGTACCATTCACCAGGTGGCGCTGTTGGGTTACTGGAGATGCAGAACTTGAAGTGTCCTATAGTAGTCACCAGGTGGCGCTGTTGGATCACTGGAGGTGCAGAACTTGTAATGTCCGGTGCCCATCACCAGGCGGTGCTGTGAGATCCCTGGTTGCCGCTACGTGGGATGGGGGAAGGGGGAAAAGCAACACCCTCCAGGGTATGCTGGAGAAGAAACCAAAAAAAACCTCTATTCCCCTTCCCTTCCCACACTGGGAAAGGAGGGGGGGGGGGGAGGAGAAGGGAAAGGAAATAAAATTTAAAAAAAAAAAGAACAATAAAACAGAAAGTTCTCCCAATGGAAGAAAACTCACAATCTTCAGCTGGTTAGAATCCACCTCAGGCAAAAACTGCAACTGGCAATGGCTCAGGGCAAAAAGAGACAGCAGCAAGCCTCTCCGACGACAATGTGTCCTGCCGTCCCCAGCCCCAGCCCATCAGCACACACACCAGCCCCAGCCACACCCCACAGCCCACCAAAATTCCTCCTCCCCCCGTTGCCCCAGAGACGAGAGAAAAAAGTAAACTTTAGTTCCTTCATCTGCACGTTTCCTAGGAGACATCTCTCGGCCATTAGTGGAGGGGTCAATTCTTTTGTTCACCTAATAGCCATCTGATGGCCTATACACAGGGCACACACACGGCGGGGGGGAAGGGAAAGAAAAAGTTCCTTGCTAAAACCTGAACCATGACATACCCAAAAAGCATAGAATTAAAAAAGCTTGAATTCAGACTTTATATTTTCTTTTGCATGCCAACAGAACGAGAAAAGTAATGACACAGGACTTAAGTTGATGCATACAAATCATCTTTTAGAAACAGAAAAATCTTTACTCAAAAAAAAATCCATGCACATTTTCTGCAGACACAACAGTTTCTTATTTTTTGGTTAAACCAGAATCTGAATAAGCACTGGGATACATCTCAAAATCATGCATCATTTTACTATTAAAACTATTAACTCGAAAGTTATTATAACAGCATGCTTACAATAGATAGGCAGTTCCTGACTGTAGCTTTGCTCCCTCCCAGAAGCAGTCCAAAGGAGTGATGATTAAACAAGGATAAAGATATTCTATGATCTGTCGAAGTCAAAAAAGGGAAAAAAAACCACAATTAGACTACAATATAATCTAAACAACACAAGTTGAATCATGAAAGTATAAATTGTTTATAATCAAATGCCTGTTATGCCTACCTGGTCCATGTACCCTGCTTCTGTGATGAGTTCTCCTGATTTATAACATAAGTGTTCCAATTTCCATTTTCTATAATAAATATAAAGAACAAGGTTTTTTTTCTTTAACAATTACTTAAAAGTTATTTTTAAAATGTACCTGTATTGAGTGTGGCTGAGATGGAGTTTATTTCCCCATAGCAGCCCTCACAGTGTTGTGCTAGAAAGGTAGCTAGAAAGGTGGTAAGAACACACCAGTGTTTTGCCTACTGCTGAGCAGTGCTGACACAACATCAGCACTGTCTCTCAACATTCTGTCCTCCTCTCCAGTGAGGGCAAGATCCTGGGAGGGGACACAACCAGGTCAGATGACCCAAACTAACCAAAGGGATATTCCATACCATGTGATGTCAGTTCAGATATAAAAGCTAAGGAAAGGAGGAGAAAGGGGTGGGCATTTGTTGTTTACAATGTTTGCCTTCTGGAGCAATCGCTCCATGTGCTGAAGCCCTGCTTCCTGGGAAGTAGCCAAACATCGCTTGCTAATGGGAAGTAGAGAATAAAACTTGTTATTTTCTTCTTCACTTGTGCATGCACAAACTTTTGCTTTGCTTTAGTAAACTACCTTATCTCAACCTATGTTATTTTCCATCTTATTTTCTCTCCCCTGTCTGGATGGAAGGGAGAGTGATAGAGCAGCTTGGTGGGCACTTGGCATCCAGTCAAGGTCAACCCACTACAATAACATACATTAAAAATTATTATTTATATAGACATGGTGGCCTCAAGAAGTGAATCACTGAGAAAAGACAAATTTTATTCAATGTAGCTATGCCACAACTTCACAAAATAGAAAAGGTCTTTCTTTTTGTAGTTATAATTAGAAAAATCTATTCCATTTATGCTAAACAGTCTCTGTAAAAGTAATTATAAATAATGGACCTACTTTTGCATTAATAAGTTAGTTGACACAACTAAAAGGGACAGAAATGTGCCTTTCTATGAGTCCACTAGTGAATTAAGATAGCACTTGGTGACACGAGAGAGAAGTCTCTTTTGTGTTTAGGTTTAGGTTGAGGTTTAGGTTGGTTATTAGAAAGAAGTTCTTTACAGAGAGAATGATCAGGCATTGGAATGGCCTGCCCAGAGAAGTGGTGGATTCACCGTCCCTGGAGATTTTTAAGACAAGGTTGGATGTGGCACTGAGTGCCATGATCCAGTCATCACAGTGGGGTTGGATCAAGGGTTGGACTTGATGATCTCGGAGGTCTCTTCCAACTGAGTTAATTCTATGATTCTATAATTCTAAGTAATTTTTAGAAATCTAATCAATAAAGTCTCATTTTTAAGAGCACAGTTACCACTTCTTTACCAAGAAAAATGCTGGACACTGTAGCTCTGCTCATAAGGGTACATTTTCAGAATCTCATGCAATATCTCTTACACCACTTTATTTGTTAAAAAGTCAACTGGTCACTGCTATCATGACACAATTTGAAGCATCAGTAGCTAGTGACATTCAAATTAAAACAGTTCTAAATGGAAGTGCTACACATTAAAAGTATATGCAGGGAAATATCTGTCCACTTTCTAACTGTTACAGATGATCAAGAAAAGTTTTGATTTTCTTCTTACCTGTTGTACATATAAACATCTACTCTGCTGGCCTGAAGTGCAGAGTCAAGGTGCTGTCTGAGTGCTTCTATTGTTAGTATATTGGCACCATCTTCATGTGGAGTCTGAATCATCAGTTGAGGGTTAAACATGGCCTCTTCGCCAATCTTCTGCCGTGTATAATTTAATTCTCGACTCACTCGTCCACCAACTGATGGATAAATGTTAACAGCTTATTCTGGATTCACATGATGAGCACTCTCTGGTCAGAAAATCTTTATCATGTGCATGAAATATTCTATCTCAAACCAATTACAGCATAGCTTCAAATCTAATACCAAATTTATTTTAGTAAAAATGCAACAAAAAACATATTCCCCATTAAATATATGCCATTGTCCCTACTGCACTAAAACACTGATGTGCAAATTTAAACAACATGGGTTTTTATATTAGAACCAATATTCCATATGTAAAAAAACCAACAAAAATCCTTTCCTTGCCGACCAGACCAAATACTCTTATGTTACCATTTCTTTCACTTGTATAAACAGTCTGCTCCAATAGCACATTTCAATACAAATGTCTTCAATTGACACTCTTCTAAATAATTTGGCAAAGGTAGAAGGGACATGTTTTTCTTCAGCTAAAAAAAGGAAAGAGGGAAAGATTAAGTGAGCATGAGCACTTCTTTCAGCATTATATAAAGGGAAAAATAATAAATTCACACAAAGAGGTGCAGTCCTGAGTGCGACAAAGTGTAGCAGAAAGGACCATCTAGAAACAATTTACCCTAGTGGTTCAGTACCTGCATAATATGGTCTGCTGCAGGGAATAATTAATACACAACATCTTTTTCTAAACCTTCATAAGTTGAGCAGGTGTGCTTCATATTAAAACATGGATTAAAAAAAAAAAAAAGGAAAAGACAGAGAGACTGCAAAGAAGACAGGCTCTAGAGGGAGTCGCCTTGACAGACAAAATTACATAAGAATGAAATTACATAAGAATGAAAAATTATCTTCCACTTACAAAAAAGCATTCAGCTAGAGTACGTATATACTTTATATAAGCTCCCCTATACTCTCTGTAGAAAAGGAATTTGGGAGGGGGTTCAAAAAATGCAGCCCATTAGCTGGATCAAGACCATATCCAGATAAGGACAAGAACACCACCAATATATTGTTTCCATCCCTTACAACGTATTAACTTTATTGCTATGCTAAGGTCAAGCTATAGACTTGGTCAAATTTGTTACATTTTCTTCAGTTCTAGTCACCTTGGCACTGGTGATCTAAATTACTGTCAAAGTTTGATTCTGCAACGATGGGAATAGAAACTATACATGTAAATCTCTCTCTTCTTTGGTCATATAATGGAAGACTGATCTGTAGCCAGCCAGCAGTGTGAGAGATGACACTCTCAAGTCTTAACAAGCCTAGGACATACTTTTTCAATCAGTTGGGCCCTCATTCTACCCACAACCCCCCTGGAGCTAATGGGACCATCAGGCAAGAAGTTAGGCCCCAGCATGGATAAAGCTGTCAGACTCAGGCTCTCAAGAAATATAATCATTCTGGCATGAGGCAACACCTAATTTTTAGTTCAAGAATTCTTTAAAGAAATAAGTATTTCTACAACACACTCCAACCATCTTCTCAGTCAGTCTGTCATGTGGCACTATCTCTTTCACATCAAGTAGCAATGATCATCCCACAGTAACAAAAAATAAAAAGCAAAGTATAAATTCCATACCTAGATTCCCTTTATAATGTATTAACATCCCTCTTATTACAGTGATGGGATATACACTAAATAAGGATGCATATGCATGGTAACAAAAAAACTACTGTGAATTTCTATCAATAATTAAACTCTAAAACCACTTAGACTTTGCCTCAAATGTTTGAGTATATGCACATTTATCACAACTAAATGCAAATTCAAATTAAATAGCATACTCCATATCAAATGCTCATTCTAGATTAAAAGTTACTTTGCAAACCCATATATCAGATTTGTTGTACTGCTACTGTGTTGAAAAAAGTGATTGTCCCACTATGCTCAGCATTGGTATAGCCTCGCCACAAGTACTGTGTTCAGGTTTGGGCTCCACAATATAAGAAGGATATTAGAATGTCTCCAACTGGAGGGCAACAAAGATAGTGGAAGGACTAGAGGGTGTGACTTATGAGGAGCAGCTGAGGATAGTAGGTTTGTTCACCTTTAAGAAGAGACTGAGGGGTGACCGCATTGCTGTCTACAACCTCCTCATGAGGGGGAGCAGAGAGGGAGGTGCTGATCTCTCTGGTGTCCAGTGATAGGACATGAGGGAATGGCTTAAAGCTGCATCGGGAGTTCAGATTTAGGTTTAGATTGCCCTGGGTGGAGTCAGGAGCTGGACTTGATGATCCTCATGGGTCCCTTCCAACTCAAGATATTCTATGATTTTATGATTTATTAAACTCCAATTTCACTCATGAGGCTGATGTTCATGTCCACTGCTGTCTTAGTCCAGCAGCTGGTATATAATGTGCTAATAAATTTTACTTTGTCTTATAGGGACAAAGCAGTGGGGAAAAGGGAGCACATGGATTATAATCTATACATCTTGGAATAAAAGCTTGCTTTTGCAGTTCATACTTTAGAACACAAAATATCTCTTTGTTTGTTTGTTTGTTTAAATGCCACCCAAGATAATAAAGATCCAATTGGATGAGGACTTTGGAGTCAACCATAAACATCTGTTCCTGCTACTATACTCTTCCATTTCACTCACACTTCACTTTTGAATTTAACTAGGACTTGAACCAGCAGATCAAACCATGCAAGACAAAGGACAGGATTCCTATCTGCTGAAAGTGACCAATTGTTTATTTTCAAAAGAAATTATTGCTTCCTAATCAAGATCCTGCCAAACTACATTAATTTCACTGAACAATGAAGATTTAGCTAATCTGACTTGCATCAATCACATAAGTCTGTCATCAGAAGCAAAGCTGTTTTTTCCCCTTTTACATTAAAACAGTAATAACAGAAACATCCAAGAAAGCAGGCACATGTTCCAGAATTCAACAATAGAGCTGCTGCGCATTCTTCTTATGGCATTACACCAATTAATTATTTACTTGATGGGTTAATTATGAACATTTCTTCTCATAAAAAGAATAAAGATAACTCCACAGGCTAAATGCAGATACTTTATACAACATAACACTCATACAAAAAGATTACAAACCTAGATTGTGGGGGGAAAAGATTATGTGAAAAAATACAGGTGGACCAAAAGCAAATATATACATCAGTGGCCTTTCAATATATCAGAAACAATATAGAACAAGAAAAAAGACTAGAAAATATAAAAAGTTTCTTCCAGTTAGATGTTTTCTTTTAACTGAAAGTTTCCAAAAATCACTATAGGTTGCCATGCCCAAAGATCCTGCATGTAAGCAAGGCAGTCCTTAAAAGTCATCATTATGGAGAAATCTCCAAAACCCTTTCTGGAAAATCAGTATGCTGAGGTGCCTCTCTGAAGTGCATATACACTCATTCACATAGCATGGGGAGCATAGAATCACAGAATGGTTTGGGTTGGAAGGGACCTAAAAGATGATTTTGTTCCAACCCCCTGCCATGGGCAGGGACACCTTCCACTAGACCAGGTTGCTCAAAGCCCCACCCAACCTGGCCTTAAACACTTCCAGGGATGGGCCTGCACCATGTCTATGGGGAACCTGTTCCAGTGCCTCACCACCCCCACAGTAAAGAATTTCTTCCTAGTATCTAATCTAAACCTACCCTCTTTAACTTCCACTTTAAAGTCATTACCCCTTGTCCCGTCACTCCATATCCTTGTAAAAAGTCCCTCTCCAGCTTTTTTGTTGACCCCCTTTAGATACTGGAAGGCTCCAGCCCTCTGATCAGATTTGTGGCCCTCCACTGGACTTGTTCCAATAAGTCCATGTCCTTCTTGTGTTGGGGGCCTCAGAGATGAACATGGTAGTTCAGGTGGGGTCTCAAAAGAGCGGATTAGAGGGGCAAAATCACCTCCCTCAATCTGCTGGTCACATTTCTTTTAATGCAATCCAGGATACGATTGGCTTTCTGGGCTGCAAGTGCCCATTGACAGGTCATGTTGAGCTTCTCATCAACCAACATCCCTGAGTCTTTCTCTTTAGGGCTGCTCTCAATCCATTCTCCACCCAACCTGTATTTGTGCTTGGGATTTCCCTGATCCACATGCAGGACCTTGCACTTGGCCTTGTTGAACATCATGAGGTTCACATTTGCCCACTCCTCAAGCCTGTTAAGGTCCCTCTGGATGCCATCCCTTCCCTCAAGCATAGCAGTTGCACCACTCAGCTTGGTGTCATCTTCAAATTTGCTGAGGGATTAAGTGATGCACCTTCCAAAGACACAAGTATGAAACTCTACTTATAATTTTCATTGGCACAATTTCTGACTGAAACATTTCCACTGACTTACTAAAATTTTTTAATTTATTGAGTCATTCAGTTCATGTTCTACCTCAAATGTAGTTTTCTTACCTATACTTTTCTCACAATTAGATCTCAACATTTACATGTATATCAAGTCTGGCTGAGATGGAGTTCATTTTCCATAGCAGCCCTCACAGTGCTGTGCTTTGCATTGATAGCTAGAAAGCTGTTGATAACACACCAGTATTCTGGCAACTGCTGAGCAGAGCTGGCACTGCATCAGCACTGTAACATCCCTCCCCCCAGTCAAGGGCAAGATCCTGGGAGGGGACACAACCAGACCAGCTGACCCAAACTAACCAAAGGAATATTCCATACCATATGACATCAGCTCAGATATAAAAGCTCAAGAAAAGGAGCAGGAAGGGGGGACATTCACTGTTTACAATGTCTGCCTGCTGAGAAACCACTACACGTGTTGAAAGTCCTGCTTCCTGGGAAGTGGCCTAAAGGGAAGTAGAGAATAAACCTTGTTATTTTCCTCTTTGCTTTTGTGGGTACAAACTTTCACTTTTGCTTTAGTAAACTGCCTTATCTCAACCTACAAGTCATTTTCCATCTTATTCTCTCTCCCCTGTACGACTGGGAAGTGATAGAGCAGCTTGGTGGGTACCTGGCATCCAGACAAAGTCAACCCACCACAGTCTCTTTGGTGCCCAAATGTGGGGAGAGACAAAGGCAGTTAAATATATATTTCAGGCTATAGTAATAATAGCTATTGAGTAGGAAGCTCCTGCAAAGGACACGGAGTTTGTCAGCTGCACTGCTTATCTCTTTATTTTGATGAATTTGGGAAAGTACTAATATAAACAATGGTTCCATGCTTTGCCCTTACACTGATGGTCTTGTCATGCTGGAGGAGCAATCTTCTGAGGACAGTGGAGGAATACACCCTCACCTCCCTGCTGGAGATTGATGTGAATGGCTTTATAATGAAGTCTCCCATGGGCTTTGCTCATCCTCATGTAACCTGTTTAACACTAAATAATATTAACTAATACTGTTGGCACACTACGGAGTTCATGGAATCTGGTGTTACCCTGGTGTAAGAGAAAACAAACTTTAGGTGAAGATATACTGAAATGTGTGTGGAAGGATTTGGGCAGGTTCCCAGGGCAGTTGACACCCCCATTACCTGGGACGTTACACCTGAACAGGTATTCAACCCTGACAAACTGACACGTCCCCTGATGGAAGGGTGCCTTGCTTATCCCAATGAAAGTCAGCAGCTTCTCACCCTGTACTGGGGCCTGGCCTGTGCCTATTGAGCCACAGTTCAGTACTCTCAGAGGACTGTAGTAGAGGCAGGGACCCAAACTGCATTGGAGGACACTATGGCTGAGATAGGGACTCAAACCACAACTACAGTAATTGCTCTAGTAGTGAAAAGGGAAAAAACGGATAAGGCAAGCTACAGGTTGATATCATGGATTAGTAAGGGAGGAAGGGGAGGAAGAAGAAGGAGGAAGAAGAAGGGGGGAAGGAAGAGGAGGAGGAAAAGCAGGAGGGGAGGGGCAGATAAAAAAGCTGGTCCTTCAACAAAGAAATTGAAAAGAGTGACACAAATCAAACAGGAAACCAAAGTTACCTGGTCCCTGACCTCATCAGAATTTTGGGACTTGCGAAAAGATTACAGTTGCCAGCCAGGTGAGCGGATTCCTACCTGGCTGCTTTGATGCTGGGATAACGGGTCTGATAGTCAGTAATTGGAAGAACATGAAGCCCAACAGCTGGGATCCCTTGCTAGAGGTTGGGGAACTGAAAGAGGAATTGGAAAAGAAGGAGCAATTTGCAGTCTCTGGAGATGGCTCCTCTCGAGCGTGAGGGCAAGATATCCATTTAAGGAAGATCTTATGAACTCCCCGGGAAAGTGGACCACTGCAGACAAAGGTATCCAGTACTTGAGAGAATTAGCAGTGTTGGAAATCATTTACAGTAATCTAAGAAGTGTTAACATCCCTAAAGATCCAGAGGATGTCCCTTGCACAATGGCCATGTGGAGGAAGGTGGTTCAAAGCACCCCTGCATTGTATTGCAATAGCCTGGTAACAATATATTACCCACAAATGGATACACCAATTCTAGAGGTGACGTCCTCCTGGCTCCACAACATAGATGAAAATCTGGGTACTTCCACATCCCCATGGGCCAGCACCTCAGCTGTCAGGGACAGCCTGAGATCAGTCCTCTTCTGCTCCAGGCAGAGGGAAAGGAAACCCCAAGCACAGGTCACGTGGAGAACTCCGGTTCTTTCTGCGTGACCAGGGGGAAGACATGAGGAAGTGGGATGGTGAACCTACCTTTAAGCTGGAAGTCCATGCACTTGAACTGAGAGGGAAGAGAGCTGTTAAGAGGGGGTCACCCAAGAAGCATGTCCATGTAGTTGCCAGAGAGACACAAAAAAGCAATCAGCAATCTCCCAGGCAAAGAAGGATTGAAATCACCTCCTTTGACCCTAGCGAGAGGACTTTTGGTCTGGCATTGCAAAGGTCAGACAGTGAATACTCTGACCAGGAACAGGAATAAAGGGTCCCTGCCTTCGGCCAGGAGGAGAAAAGGAACGACCAGGTTTACTGGACTGTGTGGATCACAGTCTGGCACATCAGATCCACAGAGGTATAGAGCTTTAGTAGATACTGGTGCACAGTGCACACTGATGCCTTCAAGGCACAGGAGTGCAGAACCCATGTGGATCTCTGGAGTGACAGGGGAATGCCAGGAGTTGTCTGTATTACAGGCTGAAGTGAGTTTAAAAGGGGACAGGTGGGAAAAGCACTCCATTGTGACTGGTCCAGAGGCCCCTTGTATCCTTGGCATCAACTACCTCAGGAGGGGGTACTTCAAGGATCCAAAGGGGTATCTGTAACACACAGATAATATAGAAATGCCAAAAATAATGTTTTGCCATTGTTTCTGCCTGTCAAAACTTCCTACCAAAAATTCTCTGTCAGCCTTTTGCCAGAAGTTCTCACCAGAGCTTCCTGCTGGAGTTTTCCTGCCAAAAGACTCTGCCATTGTTTATGGTTATCAAATCTCTTTGAAAATCTGAATAGGACTATGTGCTGAGAAACCACATACAACCTCCTTTGAACACTATAAAAATTGAGGAAAAATTTTGGAAAATCAGGGAGAGGAAAGGGAGAGAGAACTGGTTGCCACATGAGTGAGTTATACCTTATCCTTCTAGCCTTACCATATTTCTGAGGGCCAAAAGGTGCGGCTGAACCAGGACCCTGCACAGCGTGGGACACGGCTCAATGTGAGCGGCAAACCCACACATTCTGGCTGCATTACAGACAACTAAAGCTGTTAGACCCCCCCACAGCTAAAGAGATAATATTGAAAAACAGCAGAGGCAGAGAAAAAAAAAAGGCAGAAACTGCTTCTCCCCCCACACACACACTAGCTTGGTGGAAAGGTAGTTTTGGTGGTATCTTTTCTCTGCTTCTAGAAATAATCCTAGCTTTTTCCAAGCTTTTCTTATTTTTTCCTCTTTCTCTTTGCATCTCTTATCAATTAATCAAGTCACTTTTTGTTATCAACAGATAACTTGTGTGAGTTTTATTTTTGCTCAGGGGAATATTCAAATCTGAAGATCTTTCTGCAACATTTAAGCAGACTGTAACAGTATCAGTGGGCTTTTGGTATACCTTCTGTGAATACAGAGAAGATCAAACAGTTATCTACCCTGCCTGGCCCCTCAGAAGATCCCTTCATCGTGGAATTGCTGCAAGTTGAAAACCAACAAGTGCCAATTACTGATAGAACAATGCACCAAGGGCAATACTGTAATAACAGAGACTCCGTAATTCCCATCCATAAGCCAATTGGTTGACTGGAGAGCCAAGGAGTGATCAGCAGGACCCGCTCACCCTTTAACAGCCCTGTATGGCCAGTGCAGAAGTCTAATGGGGAGTGGAGGCTGACAGTGGACTATCGTAGCCTGAATGAAGTCACGTCAACTCTCAGTGCCAGACGTTGGAACTTCAATATGAGCTTGAGTCAAAAGCAGCCAAGTGGTGCCATAATTGACATCACTAATGCATTTTTCTCAATGCCTCTGGCAACAGAGTGCAGGCCACAGTTTGCCTTCACTTGGAGGGGTGTCCATTATACCTGGAAGCACAGCCCGACCATCTGCCATGGACTGATCCATACTGCACTGGAACAGGGTGAAGCTCCAGAAAACCTGCAATATATTGATGATATCATTGCATATGGTAAGACAGCAGAAGTTTTTGAGAAAGGGAGGAAAATAATCCAAATTCTTGAAAGCCAGTTTTGCAATAAAAGAAAGTAAGATAAAGGGACCTGCATGGGAGATCCAGTTCTTGGGAATAAAATGGCAGGATGGATGCTATCATGTGCCCATTGATGTGGTGAACAAAATTGCAACTATGGCCCCATAGGCTAACAAGAAGGAAACACAAGCTTTCCTAGGCCTTGTGGGATTCTGGAGGATGCACATTCCAGGTTATAGTCAGCTTGTGAGCCCCCTCTATCAACTGACCCAGAAGAAGCATTTTGAGTGGGGTCTTGAGCAACAACAGGCCTTTGAGCAGATCAAACAGGAAATAGCTCATGCAGTAGCTCTTGGGCCTGTTTGGACAGGACCAACCATGCAAACTATCCTCTACACTGCAGCTGGGGAGCATGGCCTCACCTGGAGTCTCTGGCAAAGAACATCAGGAGAAAACCGAAGTTGACAGTTAGGGTTTTGGAGCTGGGATTACTGAGGATCAGAAGCCCACTACACTCCAGCTGAAAAGGAGATATTAGCAGTCTATGAGAGGGTTCAAGTTTCCTCAGAAGTCCTTGGGACAGAAGCATGTTTCTTCTTGGGACTGCATTTGCCTGTGCTGCACTGGATGTTCAAAGGAAACATCCCCTCAACACATCAGGCAACCAGTGCTACATGGACTAACTGGTTAGTTTTGATTACACAATGGGTCCAAACGGGAAAACTCAATTGCCCAGGAATCCTGGAAGAGATTATGGACTGGCCAGAAGGCAGAGATTTTGGAGCATTGCCAGAGAAGGTGACTTGTGCCCAAGAAGCACCACCATATAATGAGCTACCAGAAAATAAAAAAAAGGGCTATGCTCTATGTACTGATGCATCCTGTTGTGTGGTGAGAAACCATTGGAGGTGGAAAGCTGCTGTCTGGAGTCCTACACAATGAGTCGTTGAGGCTGCTGAAGAAGAGGGTGAGTCAAGCCAATTTGCAGAAGCGAAAGCCATCCAACTGGCCCTAAAGCTTGCTGAAGGCAAAAAGCGGACTATACTATATTTCTATACTGACTCCTGGATGGTGGCTAAAGCCCTATGGGGGTGGCTATAGCAATGGAAGGAGGCCAATTGGCAACACAGGGGTAAACCCATCTGGGCTGCTGCATTGTGGCAGGGCATCACTGCATGTGTAGAAAACATGACTCTGAAGGTGTGTCATGTAGATGCTCACATGGCCAAAAGTCACACCACTGAAGAACATCAGAACAATGAGCAGGTGGATAAGGCTGACAAAATTGGAATAGCTCAGGTGGACTTAGACTGGGGGCAGAAGGGTAAGCTATTTATAGCCCAATGGGCCCATAAAACATCAGGACATCTACGAAAAGATAGGACATACAGATGGGTTTGTGATCAAGGAGTGGAACTGACCATGGAGACCATCACACAAGTTATTCACAAATGTGAAACATGTGGCAATCAAGCAGGACCACATGAGTAAATTCTCCTTGGAATAGAGGGCAGTGGCTGGGTTTCCAATATGGTGAGGCCTTCAAGTTGACTACATTGGACCACTGCCACGAACACACCAAGGCAAGAGCTACATACTCACCGTGGTGTAGGCAACAACTGGCTGGCTGGAAACATATCCTGTAAACCAGGACACTGCTTGAAACACCATCTTAGGCCTTGAGAGGCACGTTCTGCAGTAATATTGCACCCCAGAGAGAATTGAATCAGACAGTGGGGCTCATTTTTTAAATAACCTCATAAACTTTTGGGCAAAGAAACAAGGCACTGAGTGGATATATCACATCCCCTATCACTCACAAGCCTCTGGAAAATTTGAGAGGTGTAATGGACTGCTGAAGACTATGTTAACAGCCTTAGGCAATAGGGCATGGAAGCACTGGGAGGCAAATTTAACTGAAGCCACTTGGTTAGTCAACACTAGGGGATCTGCCAACCACCCTAGTCATGCCCAAAGAAAACCCCTACGTACTGTGGGAGGAGATACGTCTCCGTACTATACATGGGGAAATGGTTGGGGAAGTCGGTGTGGGTTTCTCCTCCCATGGGGAAAGGTAAACCCATCCATGGGATTGTCTTTGCTCAGGGACCAGGGTGTACCTTGTGGGTAAGGCAGAAGGATGGGGAGACCCAGTGTGTGCCTCAAGGAGATTTAACCTTGGGGGAAAATAATCTGTGGTGTAAGTTGTATGTTGCAGAAAGTAAAGTAGCACGATAATGAAGAACAATTTTTGTGAGGAACAAGGAGAGTGCAACAATGATCCAAGCCAGGCTGGTGTCGGTGCCCAATGATCAATTCTGTTGCTTCTACTGTCCTGAGTACACATCCTGATGGAATGGAGCCCAAGATCTGGAGAGGTGGAAGAAGCCCATGAAAATGGGAAAATAATATCTATCTGTGAAAGGATGGGGGATAGTCAGAAGATACATAAATTATGTGGAATACGAGTATGATGAAAATGTTATGGAATAAGGGGTAGAGATTGTATTGGGTCTGGCTGAGTTGGAGTTCATTTCCCCATAGTAGCCCTCAGAGTGCTGTGCTTTGCATTGGTAGCTAGAAGGGTGTTGATAACACACCAGTGTTTTGGCTGCTGCTGAGCACAGCATCAGCACTGTAACATTCCTTCCTCAATTGAGGGCAAGATCCTGGGAGGGGACCCAAGTAGACCAGCTGACCCAAACTAACCAAAGGGATATTTCACGTCATATGACATTGGCTCAGATATATAAGATAAGGCAAGGAGCAGGAAGGCAGGCATTCATTGTCTCCAATGGCTGCCTTCTGAGGAACCATTACGCGTGCTGAAGCCCTGCTTCTCGGAGGTGGCTGGCCATTGCTGCTCATGGGAAGCAGAGAATAAACTGTGTTATCTTTTGCTTTGCTTTTGCACATGCAAGCTTTTGTTTTACTTCTGCTTTAATAAACTTGTTAATAAAGTTGTTTTCCATCTTACTCTCTCCACTGTCTGGCTGGGAAGGGGAGTGATAGAGCAGGTGGGTGGGCACCTGGCATCCAGCCAAGGTCAACCCACCCCAGTGTGTTGAAAACCCTGCTTCCTGGGAAGTAGTCAAACATCACTTGCTAATGGAAAGTAGAGAATAAACCTTATTTTCCTCTTCACTTGTGCAGGCGCAAACTTTCACTTTTGCTTCAGTAAACTGCCTTATCTCAGTCTACAAATTGTTTTCCATCTTATTCTCTCTCCCCTGTCCTGCTGGGAAGGGGATTGATAGAACAGCTTGGTGGGCACCTGGCATCCAGACAAGGTCAACTCATTGCAACATGGTATTACATTATCATGATTAAAAAATCCTCTGGAACCTGCTACTAGAAACTACTAGTCTATTTTGTACTGAGTAGTTGTAGGATTAATTCTGACCTCTGCTACACCAGCATATCTTGATCCTAAAGGAGGCAATGAGTGACAGTCAAAAGTAATTACTTATTACATTGCTGACTAGTTGTTCTCAAGAAATCAACAAGGCTCAGTGTCGGGTCCTGCACTTGGGCCACAACAACCCCATGATTCTAGAGGACCAGCTGAGATAACTGGGGCTGTTTATTCTGGAGAAATAGATATAAGAATAAATATCTTCATGGAAACTTGTAAAACATTAGATCAGAATGCCCAGATAAAGTAATGGACCACTCACATAAATTTCATCCCTCCAAAGGATACTGATGCTTTTTGATAAATCATAAGTGTAGGTCAGTGCCCCTTATAATGTTTCCATTACTGCTTGAGCAATGTCCAATGCAGGCAACATCTGCAATTTGCAATACCTGTTATCACTAGATTGGGATTAGAGAGGAATAAAATAATGTCCACCATCACCTTCATGACTTGGTAACCGTACAAAAGCAAAGACTGAGAAATATATCCAAATGCAGTCAATTGAGACTTAACCTTTACTATTGTATTGGGTTTCCATGGGGGGTGGAGGGTGGGCTACAGGGGTGGCTTCTGTGAGAAGCTGCCAGAAGCTTCCCCCATGTCTGACAGAGCCAATACCATCTGGTTCCAGGATGGACCTGCTGCTGGCCAAGGCTGAGCCAATCAGGAATGGTAGTAACGCCTCTGTGATAACATATTTAAGAAGGGGGAAAAAAAAGTTACTGTGCAGATGTAATTGTGCTCAGAGGAATGAGAATATGTGATAGGAACAACTCTGCAGAAACCAAGATCAGTGGAGAAAGAGGGGGAGGAGGTGCTCCAGATGCCAGAGCTGAGGTTCCCCTGTAGCCTGTGGTGCAGCCCATGGTGAAGCAGCTGTGCCTCTGCACATGACCATTTGTCATGGTTTAGGAATGGTACTCCCCAATTTAGTGCTCCCACTGAGACTATCCAAACCATGCTGCCACTCGCTTGCTCCCCCCTCCCCTGTAGGTGGCTGGAGAGGAGAATTGGAGGCACAAAAGGCAAAGATAACAGGTTGAAATAAGAACAATTTACTAGAAACAGCAATGAGATAAGAAAATGAACAGTAAAAGTAACAATGTTAATAAAAGAAGCATACAAGGGAGAGACAAGTGATTCACATGCAAAATGCTCAGAACCAGGTTACCCTACCACTCCTTCTGCCACACTTACTCAACCAGAAGGAACCCCTTCTCCTTGGAAGAGACTCCCGCCCACCCCCAGCAATGATGTGAAGGGGTATAGAATAACCTCCAGGTCCTAGCCAAGGCCTCTTCTGGCTACTGCAAAAATTAACCCTGTCCTGGATGAAATCAGGACACCATTTACAAAGAGACTGAGAAATGACTGGATATGGAGAGTGAAGTATCCTGTCTTTCAAAAACATGGTCCATTCAGGTCAGAGGTGAGTTGGTTTTGGTGGAGAAGTCTAACTATGGATTTTTCTGGGTGAAGCAGCAAAGAAATAAAGTACTCTAGACCCTGATATTTCCTGGAAATCAGAGAAAGTCTACAGCTACTATAGACTTCTAACTCTCTAATAGTTCATGGTCCTACGACAACTTACACACACCAGCTGAGGAGCAAAGCCCAATTTTTTACTTATCTGTAATTTAAGAAAATATTTGTGCATTCTCAAGTGCAAGTCAAAATCCCCAATAATACTGAAAGTGATTGAATCATAGAATAATCTAGATTGGAAAAGACCATGAAGCCCAACCATTAACCTATCACCACAAAACCATGTCCCTAAGTGCCACATCTACACATCTATTAAATACCTCCAGGGATGGTGACTCAATCACTTCCCTGGGCAGCCTGTTCCAATGCTTAACAACTCTTTCATTAAAGAAATTTTTCCTAATACTCAGTCTAAACCTCCTCTGGTGCAACTTGAGGCAGTTTCCTTTTGTTCTACAACTTGTTATTTGTGAAAAGAGACTGACATCCACCTTGTTACAACCTCCTTTTAGGTAATTGTAGAGAATTATAAGGTCTCTCCTTTTCTCCAGGCTAAACAACCCCAGTTCCCTCAGCTGGTCCTCATAAGACTTGTTCTCTAGACCAGTTTCCAGGAATTCTGTAATGGCCTTCAAGGTCTAAACAAGGTCTAAACCTAATGATTTTAAAGCATCTGAATATCATAAAATCATAGAATTGTTAAGGTTGGAAAAGGCCTCTAAGATCAAGTCCAACTGTCAAACTACGACCTCCACCATGTTCACCACTAAACTATGTCCTCAAGTGCCATATCCACACATTTTTTGAACACTTCCAGGGATGGTGACTCTACCACTTTCCTGGGCAGTCTGTTCCAATGCTTTACAACCCTTTCCATGAATTTTTTTTCCTAATATATAAACCTCCCATGATGCAACTTGAAGCCATCTCCTCTTGTCCTGAATTATTTTAACTTACTTTTCATTTACTTTACATATATTTTTTTAACTTACTTTAACTTGACTAAGAGCTTCTGATACATAATAAATTAAAAAGAGTATGTTGTGTTATTCCATAGATATCAGTTTTCCTTGAGATTCAACTTTTCATTTAACTTCTCAGTGCTCTTTCCTCAAATATATAACTGTTTTCCTGTGTGATTGAAAGCAGCATTTTTAAGCCTTTTCATCTGTACTCCTGTAATGGCACAAATCTAATCTGTAAATATGGAGTAGCACAACATCTGAATACATATTTTTAAAGGAGCAGAAAAAAGTCAAGACAAATTCTTTATCTAGAACCTTCTAGTGGATACCCGTTCCTAAATTACGTTTTAGGAGACAGCAAAACTAACATATTGAAAAATGAAAGAAAGGAACGTGTTATGAAATAGGGTATAGTTTCTTCCAAGTATTCCCTACCAGCTGCTTGCTGTACCATCTGTTGTTGCCTAAGCAGCTTCCTTATAAATGGGTTTGCAATGAAGCAAAACTGCTCTCACTGTTGGACACAAACAGGTCAGGTCACCACTCCCCCCAGCACTGAACCTGCTGCCTGTCATGGCTTCCATCGTCTCAATATTTCTTACTGACCACCAGCTCCCAAGATAGTGTTGCATCTGTCAAGAGGTCCATTTCTCTTGACCTTTTGTAAGAATGTAATCAGAGATTCCCATCAGATACAGTGTGACTGTATGTTTAAGTTTATTCTAAAACACAAAGAACTGGGGAAAAAAGTTAAACAAACAAATAAAAAAACAACCCCCACAAAACAATCTTTACTTTCTACT